AACGTTGGGGCTGGAGATGCAAATAATAATGCATCAGCATAGACTGAGTTGGTAGAGGTAAATGTTTTCAATGTATAGCGCGTCACTCAGCTTCCATACTTGGGCACATCTGACCAAATAACCCATGTTGGGTTATGATTGAACTGTTGATTTCATGCATTATGCTTACTTTATTACTCGGGTTTATTAGTTTATTGAATTCCAATCATCTTACATCATATGATCATATTGTGAACCATATTCGTATTTTGATTATGTTTATTTTATGCCCTAGATCATATATTTATGTCACTATATGTTCGAAGTTAATTATTATGTTATTCAGTGGTGTTTGCTTGATGGATTTATTTAGTATCTGAAGTGCTGAATATATATGATTAGATTTATATAACTCTGTAGATATGACATGTGGGGATCAATGTCTAGCAGATAGTGCGACAACACATACTATCCTGAGAGATAGTCGTACTTTATTATTTTCATGTCTATTTGTAGCAAGACCGCGTTGATAACTAAATGAGCCACATGTAGTTTTGATAGATGGTTATTGTAATGTCCACATTATATTATTATCTAATGGCACGATATTGCCCATTGAAGTAGCTCATTTTTTCTCCACGTTCCAGTAGAACGTTATTAAACTTTAAAGATATTTGAGCTAATGGTTATTTTGTTGAAACCATTGAAGACAAGAAATCGACTATATATGCATCATCTCTAACGTATACGGCCATAAGCGTACATTGGGAAAATTAGAACCACAATTTGTATGCCAGAAGCATAAGTTGTCGATTGCTCGAAATTAAGTATTTTGATTATATGTCTGCATACGCACATACATGTAATGATTCAATTCCTTTATTGAAAGTAATCCAAGAAGATATAGGTGAAATATGTATCACCATCTATAACTTAAATTTAGAACCTTAGACAGACGATCTCTTACCCGCTCAAATTGCGGACTGTCACTTTGATGGGACTGTCTTCCCGCCGTTAGGGGGAGGAAAGATCGTCCACACTAACGTTCTTGGAGAACGGCGTGAAGTCGTGTGGGACGACCCCACAGTGTCTCATCAAGATCCCCTACATCAGAGAATTGATACATAGATTAATAGATCTCCATACTAACGTTCCTGAAGAACGACGTGAAGTCGTGTGGGATGACAATATAGATTTGCAAGTAATGTCCATAGTAATGTTCCCGAAGAACAGTGTGAAGTCGTATGGGACGACTTACAAATCTGCAAAGAACGTCCATACTAATGTTCCTAAAGAACAATATGAAGTCGTGTAGAACGAATAATGGCAGACTCATTCTCTGATTTGAAAAAGTGACGAGATCTCAAGTTAGCCAGCAATGACAGATGTCTTAGAAGGATAAAATATGGGTAGGCCATCAATCTCTGCTAACCAATCTTGCCTCCCTGCCTAGAAGAGGGGGAGAGCAATGGGATCAAAGGATTCTCATCTCCAGAAGAGAATAATGCCCAACAATCGAATCCGGTTAGCACAAGTACCAATGGGATCCCACCTGATCCATTTCATAAAATAATTCTAGAATATGGATTCGTCTAGGAGACGAAGTTGGGGGACGCATCGACATCAATATCCATTCTCGAGAATAGGAAAATCTCGATTAGTTATTCATGCAAATGATATGTTGTATCAGGCTCAAATGATCATCGATGACAAATTTCCTTACACAGTAGCTACTGAACTTTTTACTGAGTGATGATATATAACCTCGATCAAATAAGTGTAAACAAAGGGATGATGGGCCAAAATCAGAAAAAAACAATACGATCTGAATTTGATTCCTTGATAAAATGAAGAGTGTAGAGACCAGTAGTTCCTACAACTCCTTGAATTTCACCCATGGAATATAAGGAGTACTCACAAAGGAATGAAATGAGATTGGGAACCAGAAGATTCATCTTATAGCTTAAACGAGACTGGGTTTTAGCCAGGAGACTCATCTCATAGCTCAAGGAATGAAATGAGATTGGAAACCAGAAGATTCATCCCATAGCTTAAACAAGATTGGGAGCCAGGAGACTTATCTCATAGCTCAAGGAATGAAATGAGATTGGAAACCAGAAGATTCATCTCATAGCTCGAACGAGATTTGGAGCCAGAAGACTCACATCATAGTACAATGATTTATGGGCAAATGAGGTTGGGAGCTAGAAGACTCATCTCATAGTTCAAGGATTTCCTCAGCAACCTGAGATTGATTTTAAAGAGGTATACTCTTTCAAGGTGAATATTATTAAATTCGTGGTCACAAAGTATCTTACGGGGATCTAGATACAAATATTTATATGAAAGTCCCTGAAGGACTATGTTTCCCCGAAACAATTAGTTCCAGATCACGGAACTTAAACTCAGTTGGGCTGAGACGTTCACTTAAATTGAGGCTTGAAATATTCCGGAAGAATATGATAACATCCTAAGTGAGTAATTGCTCCGGAAGAGAATATATGAACAATAATTGATTTTGATTGTTCCCATTACTACAATTTATGTTAAGGACATGAACTTCATTTGGACTCCTGAAGAAATCAAGTAAGAGAAACACAATTGTTGAAATTTGAGTTCAAGATCAAAGATCTAAATGAGACTAATTTGTTGTCTCTACCAACTTAAAATTTATCATGTCAATTATATTTTTGTCCATAAATTGAATTACATCGAGAAGATTTTATGGATAAAGGGAAATGATCGAGTAACACATATGGGAGCTCGACAGTGGAATAGGTCCAATGATTCATTCTGTCCCATGTAGAAGGACGAGGAAGTGTTAGCACAAGAAGTGCCATATGTAAATGCAATATATGCATTATTATGCTTAACTCCATGTACTCGATATGATTTAGCGTTTTCAGTAAATTTATTATATAGACTTATCTAACCTTACCGACACGCCCTATGCATCAATGAATGAGACGAAACTTGTGGTTTATATTGGCATTGACTAGAAGTCATATCCATACAAAGCTCGTTCCTAGTCCATGGTTTAAAATTGGGAAAATAACTATGTCTTGGGGTTCTATGAAATGTACCTTAGTTGTCACTAGATCAAATCATGCATGATGTTTGTTTCACGAGATAGTGAGTGAATGCACATGGCCTGAAGCCATGATTAGGCGTGTTCGCGATTCCAGTGAATTAACTAACACAAAAGATCCTACGAGATTGTATTTTACTGTAATATAGTATGCATTGAGCAAATGAAGATGAGCTTCATTAAAAGTGACAACTCCAAGTACATAGCTTTAAGTTTTCTTCAATCAGTAACATCAATATCTTAAACAAATAATGATCTCGCAGATCAAAATTTGAGATAACTGCTCCAACTTTAAGAATAAATTTTGCCTAAAGTCAACTTTTGAAAACATGTTAAGGCTATTGACTTGAGTAGATTATCCGAGCTCACTCCCTTGTACATATAGGGGGAGTTAACTTGAGGGGGAGTGCTGTGTAGGTACGCAGTATCTAGAAGATACCCGGGTGCCCTGTTGTACTCTTTTCCTTTGTGCGAGGTTTATTTTTCCTACGGGGTTTTCGTTACTCGCCAATGTTTTAACGAGGCAACACATGCTGATTGGAAAGATTGTGCGTTGTACTCTTTTTCCTAATCGAGGTTGTTTTTCCCACTGAGTTTTTATTACTCGGGAGGTTTTAACGAGGCAACATGAAAAGTACAGTAGTGTTTTGATAGGAATCCCCAAAGGGGAGTGCTGTAAATAATATGGAAAAATGGGTCTTCCTATCCTAACACATGAGAGGTTGTAACCTCCATATTCCACTATAGATTCTAAACTTCTCACTACCCCATTATCCCCACACATTGTAGTGGTTGTAACTCCTACGTAACTCCTTTGTAACTTCTGGTTGATTACACCTATATAAATGAGAATCTCCCCTCCTCTAAACACCCACAATTTTCTCTCTACGGATTGTTGTTCTTTGCATTCTCTCTCTGTCTTTATTTACATTCTTATGTATTTCCACAAATACAAACCAAAGAACTGGATAAATAGGCAATTTTCCAACAATATATATTATTTATTTTATAATATCATTATAATACATATGATATCTTGATTTAGAATTATTGTTTTCATTATGATTATTCAATTTTTATTTATTTATTTTTTTTCTTTTTACTTTTTTTCTTCAGCTTTACGGGTTCTTTGGCAGGGCGGGTACTCGCGGGTTTTCTATGTGACTGATGCGGGTTGGTAAAATTTATACCCGTTACGAGGCGGGGGTGGGTGTGGATTGAACGAGTTTGTTAACGGGGTGGGTGCGGGGTCTGCAAAACCTGCCCCATGGCCATCCCTAGGCTCCTTGTTTTGCCCTCTACTAGTTTTGTTGTTCTAGCTTTTTAGTCTTCTGTATTCACTTTTAGACACAACCATTTAAGTATTTATTTTCCGATTAGGCCACTTTTGGGATGTTACGGACGTGCCGAGGGTCTTTACCTAACCCGCGTGTGATCATTTAGCTAGAGGGGGAAACAAATCGATGTAATTTTGTAAACTACCCAACCAAATTTAGATAAATGGCAACTTACGGCCACCCCTGAGTTATGGCCAAATTTATAAAAAACCCCCTCTTGTTTGGGTAATTACAGTCACCCCATCAACTATTTATTATCTTACGAAAAGACCCATCGAGAGGTAAATTTAGGGATGTTGATCTGGTAAAATCGAACCGAAAATTCGGTACACCAACATTTCATACCGTTTACCGAACGAAAATATATGACTTGGTTACCTAAATAACCAAATTACATAAATTTTATGTAAAAATCTGTAAAAGAAGGGGTAGCTGTAATTATCCAAACAAGAGGGGTTTTTTCGTAATTTGATCACACCTCAAGGGTGGCCGTAATTTGCCCTTAGATAAATGACAACTTTGGTGCGTCACCAATAGACATTTTGGCAAGATAGTATTATAGCGTATGTAAAAGGTAGAAACCCTATGAAAATCAAAGACAAATAAACACTTTTAACGCACTCAAAAGTATTTTGATTAAAAGTTGAAAATAAATAAATAAATAGCACGTTATAGAAACGGAAAATGCGCGAGGTCAGCCCTCTATAGATCTCTTATTAACTAATACTCCATAATTCTGCATTGAAATCACTATATTGTATTTGGGCAATCCATATATAGAGTATAGAGTAGGGAGACATTCGCACACGCTCTCTTTGTGGGGATTCGTGGGTGGGAGAAACAACACTCTCCATTTCACAGATCGATCGATCCTAGAGAGAGAGAGGAGAGAGAGAGATGGGTTGCTCGTTCTCCGGATTGAATGCACTGTACGATGCCGTCAATGGTGGAGGCGATGTTTGGATCAACGAGAACCGTTTCAGGATCGTCAGGCAGCTGGGCGAGGGTGGCTTCGCCTACGTTTACCTCGTCAAGGAGCTTCTCGCTGATCCTTCAAACCCTTCCAATGGCATTTCCTCCAAAATCAAGGACTCTTCTCACGTCTCAGGTACCCTTTTTTTTTTTTTTTTTTTTTTTTTTTTAAATCCGATCCGGCGATCTTAGGGTTTTTTAGTATTTCTGTGATGGGCGTGTGCTTTGATCTGATTTGATTTCAATTGCATTTCGATTTCTCAAGTTATGCCTGTTAGGATCTGAAGGATAGATAGTCATATCTAATTCAATTGATTGAGATGATATTAAGATGGATCTTAGTAGAACAAGAAGTGATGGATGAAGATTAGATGATTTTATTTAAGTTGGTTTGTATTGCTTCGTGCAAAAAAAGAAAAAAAAACTGATTGAAATGCTTTGTTTATGTTTAACGGGATCAGCTCGTTTCTAGGGGAAATAAAAACCCTTTGTTGAAAGAGTACTGGATAATGTTTAACAGCGGAGATGATAGAGCAGAGAAATTAAACAATAACCTAGAGTGTCACTTGTTTAATATACTAGTTAAATGCCAGAGCAGTATAACCATTTTAAGGATTTCGGTAAGTATAGTTGGAAAAACTAGATGCAAGTCAATATAGTTTTGGCATTTTGACCCTGACACAACTTTTGGCATTTTGAAGTTAAAACTAACGGAAGTATCACTTGGTATTCCGAAGTGCTTTCATGAGCTGGTGTCGAGATAAAGAATATGATTCAAATGAAAGAACGTGTGAACGTATATATTGATTTGTTCTAGGGAATGAACGTTCGAGTTAGACCAGATAGATGGAGTATTAACCGTATAAATTTATCCCCCCCCCCCCCCCCCAAAAAAAAAAAAAAAAAGAAAACAATTGATTTGTACTGTCTATTTGGTTTATTTGTTGTACAGTGGATGGAACATACGCAATGAAGAAAGTTCTCATTCAAAACAGCGAGCAACTGGAATTAGTGAGGGAGGAAATTCACGTTTCATCTCAGTTTAGCCATCCCAATCTGCTTCCTCTTCTTGACCATGCCATCATTGCAGTCAAGGTAATTTCTTTTTTTCTTTTAGTGATTTTGTCATACACTATCTCATTTTCTTACCAGCACAAACGTACTTAGTTTTGTGAAGAAAAGCTTACTGCATGAACCTTAAGTGACTATATTCGACGTAAGAGGCCTACACAAACTGTACGGAAAAAAAAAAATGTTGAAAAATTAAGTTGGAATCCGCTAGATGGTGAACCCTCTGTTACTCCGAGTTGCAAATAATTTATTGAGAAAAATCTTGCCCTAACATTATTAACAAGCTAGGAGTCACTTTGGCTACACAAATAAGACAGAAGTCGGTTGGTTAATAATGGAGGTCAGAAATCCATTCTCCTGGTGTGATTCTATAAATATGTGCATCACGAGCAAAGAGAAAATAACCCGTAGAAGATCTAATCCATGATAAAAGAGCGATGAAGAAAAAAGAACTTCAATAAGATGAACTGTTTACCATTTTTACAGACTGGCAACTAAAATCCATATCCTTGGAAGGTCATGTGCAATTTGAAAGGGACATTGAGGTGTTACAAAATTACATTAGTACTTATCAGTGTATTAGATTTTTAAGTGCTACTGTTTTCAATGATTTTGTCAATTGACACCTTTTTCTGCATTACTTGTGCTTGAAATGCTACTTTGTGGTTGGTGATGGATATTGACTATTGAGTGATGGAATTGCACATAACAATATTTCCATTTCATGTTAGCTGTAATCTGCTAAAAAGATAAGAAAAAACCATCATTGACATTCTCCAATAGCCGGTTGTTTACTGATCAAAGTCACTGGTGTATATTCCTCAAAACATATTGCTTCTGGTATATGGATTGTCCGTGACTGAATGAATCAGTTCTGTAAGAAGATTTCTTTATGCAGTATTCATAAATAAACAATAATCTGCTTTACAAACCATTAAAGGGCACTCCTATCCCAACTAATGGAGTTTTCTTTCTAAAACTGAAAGTCAATTCAGTAATTGACTTTTAATACTTCCTTTTGATAAAAGCTCGATGGATCAGTAGGGATAGCTGATATCAATACTTCAGATTTCCACCTGAGTTCGTTCAAAACATATAACTTAATTTGATGGATACAGATATTGATCTATTAAGAGCTAGAAACTAAAAATTACAAAGATGGAATATTGATCCTCTAGTTATAACGAACGAAAAATTAATACTTTGAAAGTCCGGAAATCACAAGTTCACACTTAAAATGAGTTTTTGACTAGGCAGGACCAAGTTTCGATTTGATTTCGATCAGGACTGAATCAATGTATTTAGTTTTTTGATTGGCCACGATTACGTGCCCGTAGTAGATCAAAGGCTACAATTAAGTGACCGTTGTGAACCACTGGTTTGAACTGTTTATTTTTCGTTTTAATTCAAAAGAAAAAAGGTCAACCGACAGTTAACTGGAATTGGCTATTTTCTACATTGGAACCGCATGTTATTGAACTCTAGTTACGTCAAATTGGTTGTCTGCCTTTCTTTACATAATTCCAGACAAACTATTCCCACTATATGTTGTGCATTCTCTCTGCAATTTTATATTTCATATGATCAATACGAAGAGCTTCATCACCTTGATGTAAAAGCATTACTTTGGAATTTGGATAAAGGTGATGATGGCTTCTCGCTCCCACGTATATACAGATTTGTATTATGAGAAGAAAAAAGTGTTAGACCTGCAACTTTATTATTTTATATATATTTTTTGTAATTGTAAATATTTTTGCTATTTATCTATGAATAACTAGTGCACCAATTAACTAAATGTGCATGTAGGGAGATAGTAAAAGATGAAATGTACAGCGAATTTCTTCACTAGTTTTATTTCAAGTGTCGTGCTTTGATTTGTTTCTGATATGAATGTTCATAAACACGTAATGTTTTCCTACATGCACCAATTTTGGGAAAATAATTTCCTAATACAAGATTTGTTTCCCTAGCAACATCATCTCATTTTTGTAAATACTTTTGAGAGAGGCCAAATTATACATGAAGCTCTATGTCGTAAGTTGTTTTACTATGATGGGAACATTATAGAACAGTGGACAAATAACATTGTCGAATCTACTTGCACTTCTCTATTTAAACCTTCAATCACTTCCTTAGTTCCTTTCAATGTACCGCATTCCTTAGTTCTCATTTGATTGCTTGTTTATATATATTTTTTTTCTTTCTTTTGACCAGGCTTCACAAGAACAAACCTGGAAGCATGAAGCATACTTGCTGTTTCCTGTTCATTTGGACGGAACATTATTAGACAACACCAAAGCTATGAAAGATAAGAAGGAGTTCTTTTCTACATCACATGTGCTTCAAATATTTCGTCAGGTAGGTCTGAACTTATATTCTGCGTCTCTATGTATGGACCATTTAGGTAAGTACAAGTTATTTTCCAACTTTCCGTTAGTCTTCATAATCATTTGATTTCTCGGATTTCAAGAAGCATTTTCTGTGGATGATTCTCAGTATTCTATCTCGCAATGTACTCATAGCCCTTTTCTTTGTGAAAGCCTGCATTTGTACTACTATATCCTAGTTATTTTTGCTGGACATGCTATGTGAGCATTCCAATCACGACTGCTCGTGTAAGTTAGATAGTACATTATTGAAATATTTGGAAGTTGAAATGTTGAATGCTTTTAGTTTAATATTCGGTGATGTATCTATTTATGGCTAATTATGCGTAACTCATGAGGAAACAATGTATCAACAAACTTTTCATTTGCAGCTCTGTGCAGGACTTAAGCATATGCACAATTCTGATCCTCCATATGCACATAATGATGTCAAACCTGGCAATGTCCTTTTGACACACAGGAAAGGACAGTCACCTTTAGCTACATTAATGGACTTTGGGAGTGCTCGTCCTGCAAGAAAGCAAATTCGAACTCGTTCAGAAGCATTACAGCTGCAGGTTCTTTTTATCTGCAGTTATCGTGGCCTTACAAATTTATTTTAATTCCAATATATAAATATGCTCAATTGTTTTCTGAACATGGTAGTCATATGATCATGGAGTATTTTTTCAACGGCTCCATATGATGTATTTGTTATACATATTCACATAAAATTTCATGTAAATAGATACATAACTATGTCTATTATTCAAACATAGAAATGTGTATAATGTAAAACATGATTGATAAACTTTTACTAGATGGAAATATAAAAAAGGATGCTATTATGACCTCTTAACAATCTAAGATTGGAAATGGAATATTCAAATTTAAAATGAACTGAGATTGGCAGAATTTCAAACAGGAAGTCATAGATAGATTTATTTCTACAGAGACATAGAGAGGGAGAAGGAGAGAGAGAAATGTGGTAGGGAGAAAGAAGAGAGAAATAAATTCTTACATTGCAAAGAGAGATGAGAGCAACACCGACATGGCTCTTCAAGTCAAGCAATGTGTTATAAGGCCACAACACAGATAACCTGGTTATATAGGCAGTTCGTTTAGTTTCAGAAAAGAAAAAAATAAATAAAGAGGTTCTCCTGCAAAATCGAGCATTTGGATTTTGCCCACCAAACTGGAATCTGGTTTCACTTGGTGAACTGCCCAATCCGGTCTATGTAGTCAAATACGGATTAACTCTGCTGCATCGCTTTTTCTGCTCCTTTATGGAAACTGCAACAGGCTTTTAAGCTGTAATTTGAGCTATCTTATCATGCTTTGCATCATTGACCAGATTTTTTGCATATTCTGAAATATCTTTCACTTGATTTCTTGATGTTGGTTTATGTAGGAATGGGCTTCTGAACACTGTTCTGCCCCTTTCCGTGCACCTGAATTATGGGATTGCCCAAGCCATGCAGATATTGATGAGAGAACTGATATCTGGTCGTTAGGCTGCACTTTATTTGCAATCATGTAAGACTTCGTTCCTCAGTAAAATGATTGTGATTATGTGTTAGTATAGGGTCATTACCTGGTATAAAATTATTTATTATGAACTGGATAAACATCAACCACCACTCGAGTTTACTTGTTATAGTTATGTTCAGAGGACATAGTTGAGTTCCTATGTGTGTTGTCATTACAATTAAAGCACCTGGAACATGGAACTTATTGTTAAGCATTACACGTAGACGTGTTCCCTTACCAAAGTAAGGTCAATTGCATTCCATTACTGACCTGATAAATGTGCTAGATCTTTGGATTAGGAGAAAAAAATGTAGGAAAATACTGTTTCATTTTTCCATGGGTTATTCTCCTAGTCTTCAACACAAGAAAGGGGTTTAGAAAGTTCCTTTTCTTGTGCAGCAAGATTAATGAAGTTCTGATCCTGTTCGTCGGCGTATTTTCCTTGCAATATGTGGCAGGCACATAAGCCTTTACCAACTTAATTCGATACATAGTCAACCGTAGCATCAATCTAGAAAAACCTTTTCTCTTTTGTTGCCGCGTAAGCCAGATGTCATCGTAGTTTAAAACAACTATATTTTGTGGCAAGTACAATACTGACTTTGGAACTAGGAATGTAACCATAAACAATTATACTCCATAAGTACAAATTCTAGAAACGAAAAATTAACCTTATATTGCTGTTTGTGACATGAAGAACTTAATGTCACATAACAGTCATAACTGGAGTACTGTTTGTTGGATTGTGGAAGGAGTTCTTTCTTCTATCTTTAAAACAATTTCAATGGTTTATGAATTTCGAAAAAGGATTGAACTTCATTCTAAAATAGTCATAACTGGATTACCTTTTAGTGATGAAAACAAATCTAAAAAGAAAGGCAAGACAACCTTGTTCATGTCGTCAAAGGCTCCTCCCAATTTGACAATTATATTCTATTGCGGGTGCTCTATGGTGAACTGTATTTTGGCTGTTAACACTACTTTTGACTGAAACAACATGTGATACTATTTGTAATGGAAGTATGTTTAGAAATATAGTAAGAGTAATTTTATATTCCGCTACTTTTCATTTTCAATAAAAAGGCTGGTTTTGGAAGAAAGTGACTCAAATTTATCAAAATAGCAGGGACTAGAGATCCCAGACCTTCATGATACATCGTTTTCGGGTCTTAACTCTAAAATCAAAGAAAGTGAGTTATGATGGTAATATTATATATAGGTATAAGGTTGGACGGACTTCTTTGAGCTAAGAAATTCATTACGTTAAAAAGCGAATAATCGTTTCACATTCGACTTTTTAGCGTAGGAACGTATTTGTTAGTGAGACTTTCATCGTAAGGTCTTAGTATCCAATGGTCTCCAATATAAGTAGTCAGACAATGATACTAGGAAACTCTTTTTCTCTCTCCCGATACATCACTATTAGAATCACCACTAGCTTTTCTTTCGGCCATCTTTTCTATTTTGGTTTTTTCATTTACAACAGTAAAGACAAGCTTCTCTCTCTCTACATGTCTGTTTTCTTCGTGTATTGCTCTCATTTACGTATTGACGGTTTTCATAGGTATGGGGAGTCCCCATTCGAATACGCACTTGGGGAATCTGGTGGGAGCTTACAGCTGGCAATCGTAAACGCCCAAATAAAGTGGCCAGCTGGACCCAACCCTCCTTATCCGGAGCCACTTCATCAGTTTGTAACATGGATGCTTCAGCCTCAAGCTACAGTACGGCCTTGTATTGACGATATCGTAATTCACGTTGATAAGTTGATCACCAAGTTTTCTACTTGAATGAATATTCATAAGGTATATGAACAAGTCGTTTCAATCGTTATAACTTATTATGTGCTGGGAAAAGTTTTGGCTCTCACCCTTCTCTTTTACGGTACAGCAATGTATTTAGTTTGTTTAAATTATCTTTTGGCAACTTACATGTTTATTAAATCTTTAAATGAATTATACTTGGTTATGTATACAAAACGTAGACCCAACCTTATTGTTTCTCGTGTTTGCGCGAATGCATTCTCTATTCTATGTATGCGATAATGTATACACGCACCGTTCCAATCAATATGTCTACATTGTTTGTGCTTGTTATACAAGAAGTCTTATGACAAATTGTAAAAGCCGCTATAAGAATGTTCTGTTTTTGGTTCACTCAAAGTTATTCTCCTCTCTTTTAGAAAACTGTCTGTGTATTCTTATTAGCCAAAACTCGATAACAATAATGCAATTAAGGACGGATGTGCGTAGTTGATTTTAAATTGCAATTTTAGCTAAGATCTAATTTGAAGTTTGGAAAATGCATAATATAAAATATGTAGATATATTTGTTGGCTTTAAAATGCAACTTGAATCAATGCGACCGGGGTTCATAGAACTTATGGTCTAAATATAAGGTCAAACGAAATAGTTCAAATCATGGTTATGTTTTCTATCGTACTCTTCTAGCGTGTGTTATAGTAATTAGTAGTGTGTGTAATAGTAATTAGGACTATGTTTATGTCGCTTTGAACTTCTAGTATGAACTATAGATGCCTAGGCCCTAGCCCTAACGATTCTTCTCCTAACAATTTCCATCTGAGTCATTCTCCTAACTTGAATCATTGTCTCTTCCTCAACAAAAAATATTATCTTCAAAACGTCATCCGTCAAAGATTTTCCGCGAAAAATCTTCCGCCATTCGACTCATTCTTGCAATCGGAGTACTTCTAATTATACCGTCTTGTGTTGTTCCGTGGTATAAATTAGGCTTCGAAGAAGATGACCTCGGGTAGCTATTATAGCTCCTTCTTGGAGGAACGTGGTCCACTTGAAAAAACATTTTCAGTTCATAATTCTATTTAAACTGTTACATGTTCATATAAAATCTTGGGCATGACTACCGAAAAGCTTTATGTAGTTAAATTAGCTTTCTTTTCAAAAGATTTGATCCGATTCACATGCTTCTTCACCGAATGGAAAATTTACTAATTCCAACCGGTTCAGAGAGCACTTGTGTATGTAATGCAAGTGAACGTGTACGAAAAAGTTGTCGTAAAGTTTCGCTGTTCGTTCCGTCGTTGACCCTATCTATGTTTCTATGATGGCCCAAGAACACGCTCATTCTTCAGCGTAGAGAGACTTCTGAATTGCGAGATACCATTACGAGCTCAATATATACGAGTATTATTCCGTGAAATAACTCGAATTTCAAATCATTCACTTGCGTTAAGAACATGCTTGTGGGAGATAGCAGCAGAGTAGGATAGTCTCTTTAAAGAAATGAAGCAGCCAGCAACGCCACGCCGCTTTAGAATTAGATTCTAAGGCCTAAGGCGTCCGCGATGCTCCTCTTTTCTACTACGGTAAACTTCACTCTAAGCCAATCCAGTTCTCTGCCTAAAGGTTCACTGGAACCTACAAAGCACTTGCCCGCAGCTCCTGTGGCTTTTGACTTATTAGTGATTTTGTCCTGCTTCGATAACTCCTTTCTTCCGCACCTGAGAATCTTCTGTACCTGTCTCTGAGAATAGCACCGGACTGAGGACGATAGCAAAAGGATTATAGGTTTGAGCGTGGGCTTTAAATATCCCTTCCTCTAGCTTTGGTCGAGTTGCTGTTGATTGATTGAATCTCAATACAATAAAAGGTAGAGTAGAAATATCAATAATAAGAGAAGAAATATCAATAATAAGAGAAGAAAGCTCTTAGCCTATGGCAGATTCAAGGCATGCGACTATCCGACATCGAATCATCTAGTTGCTTTTACTTTTTACTTGTCTTGCTTTGTCGGGATTCCCTTAGTGTTTTGTGTACTAAGATTAAGGTATAAGATCTCCAATTTTCTTTTTGCATCCCATTTTACCTAGCTTGGCTCGCATTCGACTGGACTTATTTCGTTCAACTTGTGCCGATTGAGATTACAGAATTCCAATCTGCTTTTCCATATAGAACATTCATCAGTATTTGCACGGTAAACTTTTGTCTTTACTTTTCCCTTCCGTAACTGACATTGATCGGAGAAAAGTTGATGAAACCGCGTCTTTTTTGATAGAAGAAGAATTGTCCTACTACACGGACATGGAAAGATTCAAAGTCTTGAAAGCCCTGTCTAATCGCATAATAGTGGCAAATTCAGTTTCACCTTTTAATTCCGCTTTTATATGAAATTCAGAATATGCGATCCGCTTTGAGTTTATTTACTAGTTATTATCACGTTTGATAATATGCAGCTGGCCAGCATGTCTACAACTACATGGAGAGGTGGCTCTTCAAGCTTGCTCGAGTCCTCATCAACAACTAATGCAAAGAGCATTCATTACTCTGTTACCAAATGTTTCGAAAAATAGATCAATATAGATTTCCTACTTAAATTCCTAGACTAAAGGGTATAAATTATCAACTAAATTAATACTACACCGAGTGAGACATATACGACTTATAGTCATTATTCGATCTCGTGTTAAATTATTCATTTTCAAATCGTTAAGGTTGACATTCCTTCCCATGTCCTCTCTAACTCTAAATCTTTCCATTCAAAAGTATTATGTAGTTAGAAATATATATATATATATATATATATATATATATATATATATATATATAGAGAGAGAGAGAGTGTTTTGTAGAAACTAGAACATTATTGAAAAAAAAAAGAGCAGAGATAACATTATTGTCAGGAGAAGAAGCTGGATACAAAAGGATACAACAAATATAGAGATAGGAGAACCACTGCAACAATTAAATAAAAGAAACCTAAACTCATAAAAACAGAGCTACAACCATCTAAAATCTAAATCATCTTCTGAAAAAGCATACTCTGTAAACAGATGACAGAACGAATGATATCGTATAATGAACCATCAAAATTTGATCAAAACAAAGTGCGCTTCAACCACCTATCTTATCCTAAGGCATAGTCGATGGTAATAATAATAATAATAATAATAATAATAATAATAATAATAATAATAATAATAATAATAATAATAATAATAATAATAATAATAATAATAATAATAATAATAATAATAATAATAATAATAATAATAATAATAATAATAATAATAATAATAATAATAATAATAATAATAATAATAATAATAATAATAATAATAATAATAATAATAATAATAATAATAATAATAATAATAATAATAATAATAATAATAATAATAATAATAATAATAATAATAATAATAATAATAATAATAATAATAATAAGAACAACAACAACAACAACAACAACAACAACAACAACAACAACAACAACAACAACAACAACAACAACAACAACAACAACAACAACAACAACAACAACAACAACAACAACAACAACAACAACAACAACAACAGAACTTACAAATAGCATCATCGTCAACTACAAGCTTAAGACAGTAATTTAATGAAGAGATCTTTACTAGTGTCAAGGATCTATGGTGGCATAAATTAACAACACAATATATGTGAAATATTACATAGTATACGCACTCAGCCTAACCGTGAACACAAAAAGGTAATTTACGGACCATCTATTAACAACCAAGGAATTCATATCCAATATAATTAAAACATATACGGATGATTGTCCGCCCGGGTACAAGAAGATCAATAGAAAACAACCCTTCCACCTCAATACCCCAAACGCCAAAAATAGATGAATCAAATTTAAGTAATATCAAACAGATATTTTACGACATTTTGCAATGAACTATAAAGAGGGATCCCTGAAAACATTTCCTGAAATTGACAAGTTAGGCTTTTGAGATATAAATTGCCAAGAAAATACATGTTTGAAATTTTTTATTGTGACAAACACAATACTCATCAATAAAATTGATGATCTAGAGAATCAAAGGGTCTATGTTGAAGAAGAAATTCCAACATTCTGAGACACATAAAGTTATATAATCCATTCATACTTGAACGCAAAAAAGGGCACAGTACAGTTCATATTAACCACTTACTAAGAAATCCATTCATTTCAACAGCAAAACTCCTGCATGCATATCTTCCAATTTATTACTTTAAACGCAGTTATATCATATGAATTTGAACACTTGAATCTAACCTGAATAAAAAAAAAAGTACAACAACAAACCAAACTAAACAAACAATCAGATGATATATCTAATTCTGCTAGTCAGAACTCATATACACCACCAAAAAAACACATATACAGAGACAAGATCTACCCACACTAACCAAAAACAACTCTGATCAAACAAAAGGGCAGGGCAAGGCAGACAACAGCAAAGATAATCCAATTATCATACCACACAGAATATTGTACAACGACTTAGGATTTTAGTCCGGGGAAATGAATCCTCGCAAGGTATTTCACCTGCGAGTTCGTCGCCACCAATACCTGTGGAGCATTCATGATCAAACCAAAATTCGCTTCAAGTGCTTGTTCAGTCAGATTGACTTTCCACTCCGTCAAACTGAACTTCACAGCCAAATCTTCACGCTCTGCCATGGCATCCATCACTGCCAACTCAAGTGAAGCACGCTTTTCAAAAGCCAAGCGAATCTTTGTTACTTCTCGTTGCTCTTGAGTCAAGCGACTTAACGAACATATTCCTTGTCGATAATTATGATGAAGATGATTATGATTGCCATCTTTGATGGTAAGGCGCCGTAATCCATTATGACCCTCTTTACCGCATAGCGCAAAATGGCACATGCACTTCATTGAACCAGACTTGCGACTTGTTACGATTTCAACATTTTTTCCTCGTCCTTTATAGGCTCTTTTACACATCAAATATTGTATGCGTTCGTAGAAAGACAGAAGACTAATTTCATGACCATGACTGACAACCGTGTTCATCACCCACTCAACCACTGCATCTTACTCTCAAATGCAGTAGAAATTATGAAAAAATGACTAAAATCATGTAACTCGAATGTTTCCGTATTTTCATTAACATTATGTATACTTCCTGTTTTTAGATAAATATAGTTAGCATAATATTAAAATATATATATATTGAGCTTGCATAATTTCACACGAGCACATTCTCGGGTCTTGTATTTGTTCACACGACCACTGAAAATGTGCTCGTGCGAATTCACATGAACACCAAGAAAAATCATTTGTACGTGTTGTTTTGCGCGAGCACATGGCATGTGGTCGTGCAAAACCACACGACATCAAGGGAAAAAAATCATCT